CTAAATGCTTAAAAATCTCTGATAAGTTTTAATGCAGCATACTTGATGTTTTTTATATTACACAATACTTGATATGTTTTAATACTAAATATTCTTTCATGCTTAATAAGTTCTCTTCCTATAATCTTTTTTTTTTTTTGATTGGGTAATAATAATAATTAATATATTTATATATTTTATTTTTGTATTTTAAATTATTTACTTGTCCTTTTTTTTTTTTTATGCATAAAAACTTTTTATATGTTAAGAGTGTTTTATATTTATATATATTATGATAATGATTTTTATATAAAATTTTTATTTTTTTAAAAAAATACATAAAAAAAATATATAATCACTTTTAACACGTACTATAATAATTTTTTGTGATGTTTTATTATGTGAACTTGTGAGAAAAAAAAAATAAAAAAAAAAATAAAAAAAAATAAAAAAAAAAAAAAAATTTTTTAAAATTATTGTGAGAAAAAAAAAAAAATAAAAAAAAAATAAAAAAAAAAAAATTTTCAAATTTTTAATATGTAAAAATAAAAATTTCCCACATATAAAAATTTCAAAAAAAAAAAAAAATTTTATTTTAAATTGTTTTTTTTTTGAAATATCTGAACCGCACAATAAAAAAAATAAAATAAAAATTTTTTTTATTTTTTTTTTAAATTATATCTTTATAAATAACTCCAAAAAACTATTAAGTTGATAATTTTTATTTTTCTTTTTTTTTTTTTTTTTTTAAATTAAATACTTTTAGTTTAAAATTAAATACTTTTAGTTTAAAATTTATATTTTTTTATTTTTTTAAATTTTATCACTATCAATCACTATTATCACTATCACTATTGGTAGCCATTATAACAGTTAGAAAAATAGTAATTGGTGAAAAAAAATGAATAAAAATGAAGATATTGAATAATATTTTATTATTAAAATGAAATGTGAGAGGGAGTAAATTAGGTATTGTGAAAGAAAAAAAATAATAAAATTGTTTTGCACAAAATTTAATATATAAAATTCAATTTAAATTAAATTTTTACAAAAATAATTAAGTTTCTTAAAATACCCAGAATGTTTTTTGTTTGGGGGATGGGATTTACTATGACTATAAGTTTTTTCTTTAAAACACCAAAAATAAAAAAATAAAAAAATCAAATGATCTAAAAAAAAAAGGGTGTGGATAAAAATAAAAATTATAATATTGAAAACAATTTTTTTTTTTTCTCCAATTTTTTTTTTCTTTTTTTTGTAAAAATTCAATCTTCCTTAAATTTTTTATTTAAGATTTAACTTTATGCATTTTGAACTTTCAAAAAAAAAAATAAAAAATGTATGTATTGATTGTTTAAATTTATATTCATTACCACTTGTTGTTGTTTTGTTGCTGTAATTATGATTTATTTATTGTGAGCTTTGTTGAGTAGGGCGCCCCAAAAAAAAAAAAAATTTTATTGTTTTTTATTTATTTTTTTTATTTTTAGAAAATAAAACTTTGTGTGTTGGTTTTTTAAATTTTAAAAATAATTTTTGTTTGATTCCATAAAATTATTTTTAGAATGGAGTTATAAAAAATTAACTTTTCAAAAAAGAAATAATACAATTCTATTATTTACCACCATCACACAGCCATACCCACAACACCCATAATACCAAATATATACAAATATTAAAAAAAAAAAGTGATAAAAAAAAAAAAATTTATCATTATCATTACTTTTTTTTTTTCTTTTATTAATTGGTTTATAAAATATCAAAAAAAATTATATTTTTAGTTAATGTTCAAAAAAAAAATTTCATTACTTTTTGGCACCAGTTGGATTTGGATTATTATATCAATTATTTTTTAATCTATTGATTTTTTTTTTTTTTTTGTGCTAATTTTATTGGGGGTTTGGGTAATTTTTTTTTTAAA